TTGAGACAGGGTCTCACTGCTGTCACCCATTCTGGAGTGCGGTGGCACAATTAACGGCCACCACAGCCCCAACCTCCTGGGCTCAAGTGACCTAAGTAGCTAGGATTACAGGCCCATGCCACCATGGCTGGCTAAGTTTTTTATTTTTTGCAGAGATGGGGCCTTACTATGTTGCCCAGGCTTGTTCTTGAACTCCTGGGCTCAAGCGATCTTCCTTCAGCATCCCAAAGTGCTGGGATTACAGGCTTGGGACACTGTGCTTGGCCCTTTTTGCTTTCTAATGTATTTATGATCTTAATGTCTTACTGCATTACTACCACTGCCACCGTAGTATAATAATAACCAGAACAGTGACCACCATTTATGGAACCCTTTAGCATATGCCCAGTCATTGGGCTGTATTTAAGGGTGAGAAGAGAATGGAGTATATAGAATAAGTGAGATGTGTCTGTGTTCTCAGGGAGCTCCCAGACTCTGCCATATTGGTGGGGGGGGGTATGGAAGGAAGAAAAACGTCTCTCTACAGACAATTAGCGCTGGTAGGTAGGTAAAGGGCTAAAGGAGATAGATTAAGCATAAAGTTAACAGGCTTTAAATCTCAAATAGAGCATTCCTAGGGAAGGTGCTATTTTATATGCTACTCTACTAGGCAGGTAGATGTTTATAGGTATAACTCGTTATAAGGCTAGATGACTTCAGAGCTCCCCTTGGCTACCATTCTTTCTTCAAGAAGTTCTTTCATGCCAGGTGCAGTGGCTCATACCTGTAATCCCAGCACTTTGGGAGGCTGAGGTGGGTGGATCACCTGAGGTCAGGAGTTCAAGACCAGCCTGACCAGCATGGAGAAACCTTGTCTCTACTAAAAATACAAAATTAGCTGGGCATGGTAGCACATGCCTGTAATCCCAGCTACTCGGGAGGCTGAGGCAGAATAATCTTTTGAACCTGGGAGGCAGAGGTTGCAGTGAGCTGAGATGGCGCCATTGCACTCCACCTTGGGCAACGAGAGCGAAACTCTGTCTCAAAAAAAAAAAAGGAGCTCTCACTAAACTCATCGACATGAGTGTTAACATAGTCATATATGTTCAGAAAACACTTTAATATTTCCTAAATAAGTCTGGGAGCTGAGTCTCATACCCATAGGAAAGGAAGAAAGCCAACTAAAATGTATTAATTTTATTTATAAAAACATGCCTACTATGGACAAGACACAGTGCTAGTTTTTTTGTAATATTTAATTTTCCTGGTTGCCCTATGAAATTGGTATTTTTCCCATTTTACAGATAGAGGAAATTGAGGTTCAGAGAGGATAATAACTTGTCCCAGATCACACAGCTAGTGAGTACCAGGGTTTATTTCTATACTTATTTGCTTCCCAGGAAGATGAATTATGATTTTTAACTGTGTAAGAGATGAGGACTTAAATTATCTATTTTGCCTTTTGAAGTTCTATAATCTTTGTTTGCTGTGAATATTAGTGCTTAGCAGATGAGATTGTCCACATGAAATTGCCTCTGAAAGACTATCTAAAGACAGTAGAATGAATGACCAAAAAATAGTCACCGAAGTAGTTGATAAAATTTTGTAGCTTCATCTTGACTGTAGGCTTCTTTATTGATTTAGATTACTAATAGGGTTTTAGTCTCTTTATTTGATACTTTTGGCATTTGGCCAGTTACTTTTGAAAAAAATTTATATTGGGAGAAGGATGTGAAGAGTATGCTCAATGCCTATACCTAAAAGAAATAGTGTATTTCAGTCTGGAATTTTCAGTGGTGTTCAGAGGTGTTGATGATCTTGCCACTAAAAATTATCTTTCCTTTTCAGCTTAAAGAAGTCTTCTGCTGAACTGAAAAAAATATTAGCCAATGGCCAGGTAGGTATTAATATATATTAAGATTTTCACATAGTAGTGTATTACTGTCCAGCTTTTGTATCCATAAGCTTATTAAACAGATAAAGAGTGTGAATTTCCTGTCATAAATGAATAACATGGCTTAATTTGATTGGCAGAACAATTTACAGGCCGTTTTTCAAACTGTGCTAATGGGTTTCACTCCCAGCAGATTGAAGTACCATGCACACACCCTGCTGCCATCTCAGTTTTTAAAAAGTTAATCAGTTCTGAACAAGTATGTCAACTCGTGGGTTGTTGAAATGGCCCTGCATTCTGAGGTGACTGTTTCTTTCATTATCTTTGGGGAGAAAAGGAAAAACCATTACTTTCTCACCTTCGTTCCTTCTTTTGTCCTGAAACTAACACTGGCTTTTTAGGGAAGTGGAGTGACAGCAGACCTTTGGCATATAAAATTCCCGGCCTTCAGGAGACCTTGGTTTGCCTAGTAGACTGGTCATCTAAAGCTGAATGACCTAACCCAGCCAGTGAGGGACAAACGGGCCTGCAGGCCAGTTATTTCTTAGTAATTTTGACTCAAGTAAATGGACACATCTGAAATAGTATAGTGCTTTTAAACATACACTGGTAAATTAAGCTACCTACAGGGTCCTCGATTCTTCAATAGCAACATAAATGCGTTTTAATGTTTGTTATAGTGGAAGCCCTTTGATAGCCTTGGAGGCAGGCGCCTGTCTATTGCGATCAAGCCTGCCTATTAGGCTCTATTGACTGAGACATCTGTGTCACTGCAAATAAAAGACTCTTATTGATTTTCTTAACTGCTGTTCACTTCCCGTCCATGTTTCGAAGGCTGAAATCTTAATTATCTCAGATGCTTATTCAGTGCCGTCACACGCTGACCTCTCCAAGCCTCATTGGCATTTCATGAATCAAGTACTTGTAGTGGAGCATGTCAAGAAGACAAAGCCAGGTCTTCATGCCTGTCCTTTAATATCACCTGTAACATTGTGGCCTAATAGATGTGCATGCCTTAAAACAGTGCTGTATGGTAGTGCTTCTGGAGGCCTTGCCCATTTAGCACACATTTCCTTGAATACAGTTAGAAGAAATTAAGTTGATCTGCTTCTGACACCTGATTACCATCCAGAGTATGTGAATTCTAGTCCTTAAATATCCTATATACAGCTAAGGAGAATCTGGTGGTGTATGTATAATCTTTGCAGTCTGAACATTTTAGATAGTATTTATCTAATACCTTTAACTTTCAGCAGCCAAAGGGTGTGTTTAGATTGAGGTCCACATCTATCTCCCCTCAGTGCCTTATATTTTGTTAGAACCAGTATATGTAAACCAAATCTGACTAAAAGCAAAAATATTGAGCCTAGGATATTTATGTATCTTCAACATGCTTGCATTCTAGTTACTAATTGTAATTTATGTATGAGTCACTTGTGTTCTTCAGCTGGAAAATATATTTCAAAATTGACATAAATTAAGAAGCTTTAACTACATTTGTTCAGCCCAGGCAATGGAAAATAACCTGTCATAGACTCTTCTTTCAAAAATGAAAAACAGTTTTTTCCACTGCAAAAAATAAGCATCCCGATATGCTCATAATGTTTTGACGGTAAACCTAGTACCATAGATGTCTTAGTGGCTTCAATTATGAGGTTCTCTATGGTGGGAGATGTCATGGCAAGGATTTTTGACACTTAAAGATTGTTTATTGCTTTCCTTTGGGAATGTGATAACCTCATATTAAACAATAGGACTTTTTTTTTTTTTTTTTAAATAAGGATTAGCCTTTCTTACATTTACTTGCACTCAAAAAATCCCCTCAAAAACCGAAAAACCCACCTTTGGAAGCTTTTAAAATGTCTCCTTCTACTAATTCCTTAATTCCTTAGTGCTATGGGGTAACTAAACAGTGAGTGAAATTGCATTGCAGTGAGGTACTATGCACAGTTGTTGGCATCAATAAATTTCTGGGCTAAACACTGAAACCACTTGATATGGAAGATGTAAGTCACATTTAATGATACTTTAACACTTGAGCATAGTTTTTTATTTTAGTGGTTTATGCTCTCAAGCATTAATAATGATTTGCCTTTCCACTAGCCTCCACTTAGATTTAATAAGGAATTCATATTAATCATTAAAAGAAAGGGACATGATTCTTCAAGATAATCAAATATTGACAAGTTAGAAATAGCTTTCTGCCTGGGTTCATTGATATAGGTTATGTGATATAAATATTTATTTCTTTTCTGTCACTCAGAGTAAATGCCACCAATTGATTCAGCATTGATATAGTGTCAACAGTTCATAAGAAACATTTGACTGGCCTGTGTTTTCCGATTAGTCTCTGCTCTATAAAGTGGGATTTACTAAATCTCTCCAATTGTCTGCTCATAGAGTGTGACTGCTTTCTGAAACCATTATTGCTTCGATTTGTGAAGCAAAGGTCTAGTGATGGGACTAGTTTCTGTCAGACCTTTACATATAAAATAAGGATTAATTGAGCATTTTTATTTTAATGATTTATAAGCAATAGGTACTGATTCTTCTTAATACAGACAGACAATAAGCAAAGAATATTTTCTTTGCTGGTTCATAATTGAATTCCATTTCATTTTTCCCATTAATTTCATTAGATCAAGCACTTTTTAAAAAGTTTAACATACAATCTTTGGAATGGAGACATTGTTTTCCTGTTAGCCCTTTTATGTTGAGGTAATTCCATTTTTCCAGCTTAAAAAAATAGAAGATATTTTTGGCATGTTTTATTGAGAGCTATAAATCAGTCGCACTGATGTGTTTTTCCTACTTCAGTTCTAGTGTGGCATCATCTGTTTAACATTGGCCCTTGATTTGAAACTGATTAGAAATAGCCCAGAGGGTCAATTTGAAGAATTTAAAAAGTGCACACTTACTCCAAAGGTAGTGACTTTGGCTTTTGCATCTCTAAAGTTATTTTTTTCTTTTTTTTTTTTTTTTTTTTTTTTTTTTTTTTTTTTTTTTTTTTTTTTTTTTTTTTTTTGTTTTTTCGATTTTATGGAGAGGGTGGCAGTATTTTCCAAATATAAATCTACTCAAATCAGATCTAGAACTAATTCTTGTCCAGTTATATCTTTTGGCTGTTATTTTGAGAACTTCAGAAAGCCTTTAGAAAAACTTCAAAAACCTTTAGAAAAACACTGACCGTTTTTCTAAAGGCTTAGGTGGTGGCTTATGCATGTAATCCTAGCACTTTAGGAGGCCCACTTGAGGCCGGGAGTTTGAGACCAGCCTGGCCAACATGGTGAAACCCCTTCTCTTTTAAAAATATTAAAAATTAGCTGGGTATGGTGGTGCACGCCTTTAATCCCAGCTACTCAGGTGGCTGAGGCATGAGAATCACTTGAACCCAGGAGGCAGAGGTTACGGTGAGCCAATATGACACCACTGCATTCCAGCCTGAGCAACAGAGCAAGACTCTGTCTCAAAACAAAAACAAAACCAAAAAACGAACAACAGGATCACCTTTTCATATTTAGGAAAAAAAAAGGGGGAGAATAGGTATCTATTGTAAAATTAGGTTTAAAAACTATTATTACTAGTATATGTAACTCTTAGATTCTTTACATATGAAGACTGAAACATGAATGAGACTGTGTATGTAAATCTAAACTACACAGCAATCCTCCTTTACCCACCCAACCCAACCTGACTGCCCATGGGTTGTTGCTGTCTCTGTTTCTTTTATGGCCCCTGCCTCTCTTGCAGCAGGAACGGAGCTCAGTGCCAGTCATTTCTCTAGGGTCATTTGCTATCTTGGCAGTTGACATGTAATTGTAACTTTTGTGGCTTTTTCTTCCTCCTCCCTCACATTTGTTATTCTGCCTTTTTTTTAGTCAAAACAAGGAAACTGGACTGTATTTAAAAACGACTCAGTATTGTTATTGAATAAAAATCCTTCACCTCTTTTCAAAAGAGCTGTTTGACTTTAAAAACGTTTTTCTTCTTAAACATCATAGCTAATGAAATTGCTTTTAACTGGTGAGTGTCTTTTAGTTGATTGTGTACCTTCCTGTGGGCCAGTGGCCATTGATAGGAATGTCCCTCCATACTTAACACCCGAGACAAACTGCTGAGCTATGATGTTGAACTGGAGTGTACTGAAAGACTGAGTTCTAGCCTTGACTAGCTGTTACTGACTAGTCATGCAATAAACCTAAGTGAAGTGGGCTAAGTGGTCTCAGGATGCTGTAAAATTCTGTGATTTTTAAAAAAATGATACTTGATCCCAACTGTAATATTTAAATACAATATTCCATAAGCTTATAAATATGACTTTCTTATATGATGAACACTCTTCCTGTGCTTCATTTTGAAAAGTTGAATTAATATTCCTATCTAAATGAAAAAGGCAAAAATACTACTAGTTGATTTTAGTCCCTTTAACGAGTTTTTCATAGTTAAGATCAATTAAATTAACCCATTTGATCAGAGATAGGAATTTCTAAAAATATTTTTTATAATCAATTCTTGGCCTCTGCTTTGTTTTTCCTATCCCTCCCAAATGTTTTTACATGAGGAGTATTTGTACAGCATAATAAAATTAGAAAATTTAAGCAAAAAGAAAAATAACCTGATATTTTTTAATATTAAAAAACTATCAGGCCAGGCGTGGTGGCTCGCACCTGTAATCCCAGCACTTTGGGAGGCTGAGGTGGGCTGATCACCTGAGGTCAGGAGTTTGAGACCTGCCTGGCCAACAGGGTGAAACTCCATTTCTACTAAAAATACAAAAATTAGCAAGGCATGGTGGCGCACACCTGTAATCCCAGCTGCTGGGGAGGCTAAGGCAGGAGAATCACTTGAACTTGGGATGTGGAATTTGCAGTGAACTGAGATAGCACCACTGCACTCCAGTCTGGGTGACAGAGTGAGACTTCGTATGCCTTCCCAAAAAAACTCCCCAAACCAAAAAACTCTCAATCAGTTCACAGGCCAAAGTTTGCATAACCTTAAAACTTTGTAGAGGGCCGGGCGCGGTGGCTCAAGCCTGTAATCCCAGCACTTTGGGAGGCCGAGGCGGGTGGATCACGAGGTCAAGAGATCAAGACCATCCTGGTCAACATGGTGAAACCCCGTCTCTACTAAAACTACAAAAAATTAGCTGGGCATGGTGGCGCGTGTCTGTAGTCCCAGCTACTCAGGAGGCTGAGGCAGGAGAATTGCCTGAACCCAGGAGCGGTGGTTGCGGTGAGCCGAGATCGCGCCATTGCACTCCAGCCTGGGTAACAAGAGCAAAACTCAGTAAAAAAAAAAAAAAAAAAACTTCGTAGAAACACATTGTAGGAACACTTTAGTCACTTTTTATGGGTACTATCTAAGTGACATGGTTCTAGAACTTGCTCTTCAAAAAAAACTTGCTTTTTATCTTTATGAGACTCTTGCAATCCTCCTGGTTATCTGAAGGATTCTATATTTGTCTTGATTTTTTTCCATCCTTGAATTTGCTTAGACAGTGATTAATGCACATGCACATACCCTTGCAACAAACATTCTTCCTCTCCCCTTCTCCTCCCTGCACTCCTTCCCCGCCTGCACCCTGACAGTGTTGGATGCCTACCACTCCTTGTTAGGTTGGAGTGCTGGGAATGTGAATTGGGTAGCTTCTTCCCTTCTCTTTTTAACGCTAGTGGATATCAGTGGTAAAAAGACTATGATACCAGGATTATACCATTTGAACATGCTCAGAGACATGCCATACCTACCCCTTTGCCTATGAAGTAGTGGAGGGGATATGACTGCAGACTGGGGTCCCTCCTCAGCCTAGACCCTATCTGCTACATAGCAGCTTCCAACTTATGCTTAAATCTTTGTGCCACAAATTCAGAATTTGTGTACTTGAATGAGTGAAATGTCTCTCCTAGAAATTTATGTCAAGCCAGGATGAGAGTGCAGCTTGTTAGTTAATAGTACAAATCAGGTTGTTAGAGACAACGTTTAGATTACCTAGAGAAATGTTCTAAGGGAATTAGCCCAGTGGCCTATTTGTGCCCACCAATGGATACTGCTGTTTACCTATCCTTCATCGATCTAAGTTACCCAAACAGCAACTCTGCTAGTTTAGCATCTCGTCACTTTATGTGCTACTTTTCGTCATGCTGCTTTAAAATTTATCATTCCATTCAGAATAATGAGGTTTTATTTTCTCTATACCACATCTTTTATACAGCTTAAAATATTTTTTTCTGTATTAGTAATATAAAAAAACAGATGAACAGAATTCCCCTCAAATAGGAAAATAGTTGCCAATTGTTCTGGTTTGTCTTTCATTACTTCACTGACCCTAAATATAGTAATTAGCTGATTTTAAATTGCATCAGTCTGGTTGTACTACAATTAAATTGGGTGCTGAATTGGCCTTTACACATTAATCTGTCAATATTCTTTTAGGATTGGTAAAACAGCTTGGAAAGGAAGCTGTTTCTGTTACCTGCGTTGTACTCTAATTATCACAGCTCTCTGAAGCCTCAACTTCAGAAATGTGTAGAGGGAAAATATTTCCCTAGGTAAATGAACCCTTGCTTTATTCAATTGGTGGAAGTTTAGGGTAGAGCAAAATATTTAAAGCTTTACTATACTGGTCTGAGAGCAAACTATTTTTTTTCCAAGTGATATTGAATTAAAAACTCCATCCATTTTCTGCCCATGCAAGGCAGTGCAATTCCCTGGAAATTGATTTTTTTTTTTCAGGGCTTACTGTGGCTTTTCCCAAGCTTTAGCTCTATGGAAAATGACACCTTTATTAAATCCACTTAGTGAATAAAGTTGGCAGTTAATTTTTAAGCATCTGGACCAGTGTGTAGAAAATTACTGAATGTATCAAATAAAGTCTGACTAGTCTTAAAGTCATTTGATAAATAATTATATAGGGAGCTCTCTACAACTCTTAAAACATTTTTTTGTGGGCACTAACATAATTCACCTACTATTCCTGATACAAATTTGTGGTATAATAGGTTTTTTAGAACCTTGGAAAACATGCAAACTGTTTTATATATTAAGTTCTGAAAATGACTTATATTTAATAAAAATTACATGCCGATGTATTTTTCCTTTATATGTTATAATATTTGACTATATGTGCATCTTAAGTACACTAATTTGGTACTTTTCCATCTTTATAATGTGATTTCTACCTAATATTGCTGTATACTAGTTTGTTATTTGCAGAGAAAGCTGTATCTACTCTAGGAAAATCATAAACATTTAGTTTGTTAGGTGTTAATTATGGAGATCATCTGAGGAGTTTTCTAGGGCTGATTTATTTACAGATCATGCATTAGATTACTGAGAGAGAGAGAGAGCGTGTGTGTGTGTGTGTGTGTGTGTGTCTGTGTGTGTCTGTGTGTGTGTGTGTTGTCGTCTTCCTAAGTTTGACTTTGGTTATGTGCAGTGCTCTTTGGCATTGGTTATATGCAGTCCTGCAGACTATTTTCTTATCAGTATCTCTGACCTGACCCTTTTGAGCTATGTTATATCATTCCATTTTGACACCTTTTATCAAACTTTAATGAAATGACCCAGGCAAACAAATTGTCATTAAACTTTCCATCACTTTGTCCCTTGGTATCGTCTTTTATAAATTGGACAGCAAATGTTGTATTGATCTTCTTGTTCTTGCAGCTGAACTTGAAATGACCCAGACTGCTTGTTGTTTATGGCCCAGAGTTGCTTTTCCTTGACATTTCCATCCACAGCATGACACCCTTTTTGTTTTTCTTTCTTTCTTGTGGAGATGAATGAACAAGACATACGGTATCGGGACACTCTTGGTCATGGCAATGGAGGCACAGTCTACAAGTGAGTAGTCAATTTTGTTTAAGCTTTCTATCCACTTTTCCAAATACTGAGTATCCAAGTTCTCTGTGATGAAGATTTTTAAATGACCACTAGCACTTAGATTTTATTTCCATATTTGACTCCAAAATTCTGCAAGACATCTATTTTCTCAAGAATTGCCTGGAAAGTGCATTTATATTGCCTTTTTAATATTTCCGTGTCTGCATCTCTCCTGAGTGTGTAGTTAATAGTCTGCCGTTAGTAAGTGTACCTTTAACTGGCCTGAAGTTTAATGCATTTTTTTCCTTTGCTTTTTAACACTATTATTATTATTATTATTATTATTATTAACTTGCTAGCACCCTACACTAGTCCCCTGCCTGTTTACAGTTATGCCCAGTGGAAGCCAGACCTTATAAATACCATTGCTTTGCCCTGTGTCAACACTGTAAGTTATTAAAAAGCCTTCTTCCTGTTGTATTTTCTTCTCTCCTCACCCTGCTCCTCTGAGAGAATTTCTACACATTGATGAGTATGTTAAGTTATAAAGTTCTCCCAAATTCCAGTTGCAGTGATCTTACCCCAAAGGAATGCTCATTTTCATATTAAAAAATGCTAGCCATAAAAAACAGTTCTCCAACAGGGAAGTCTTCTTATGCAGTAGTGCAAAGTTTAAACTACATAATGTAATATCTGGTACTTAATAGTCTGCAATGGTGTATGAAAAATATTCCACTAGGAATTAAAAAATCCATACTCTGTAAGAAAGCCCTGAGGGAATAATAAAACTTTCCTCTAGAGAGCTGTTTTCCATGTACACACTAACCCTGTATCGCATTATGGTTGTGATATCAGATCACAACCACAGATACTTTAACGTGGATATTAATATGTATTTCCAGAATTGTAAAATAATTAACTTATTTTCTAATTGGTTACCCATGTTCTTAGAATTTTAAGTTCTGAATAACCGCATGAATACAGATCAAAAACTGCCCTATTCTATGACCATGAAGGTTTACATCCTAAAATCCCAGAACATCCCTTCTTACTGATGCAGCCTTGGTATAGAATTTGATTTCTCAAGCTTAGAAGCTCTTTTGAAGTCATTTGGTCCAGTAACCCATTCAGGGCTTCAGTGTCCCCTGCAGTTACAGCCAAGATGTGAGTCCTTTCTCCTGAATATAGTCCTTTAAGAACTTATGTTCACATGTTTGGATTGTTTTTTCCTGCAGATGATTGAGCATTATGAACGGTTGGTCTGAAAGTGAAGTCCTTCCGCTATGATAATTCAGAGAAATAAATAATGACATGTTTCTTACATGTTTCTTGGGCCTTGGGCCTGGCCCTGAAAATGGAGGCCCAATGTGTCTAATGAATTTTACAGCTACCATTCTCCTTCCCTGGATCATACTAGCATTTCTTCCCACACAACCTCCAGTATAAATGGTATCTTTTCATCTTAGTCTTCTCTTCCTTACTGCCTGACTTGGATTTTTACCGTGTTCTGAAGGTTCTTGAGTTCAGGTACCTATAGAAAGGAAAGAGGAAGAAGGAACATGTATACTCTGATTTACTTCTATTGAGATCACTGGAAAGAATACTTTTCAAAGCTTGAAGCCTCGTTCTTAATGCCTTTGTGCTGATAGCCAAATATAATACACAAGAGACATTTCTGGCAGCTCTTTGTATTCCTTTTGTTGACTTCAAATGGAAATCAAAAGTGTGTCTTTAGACTCCTAACCTACTTATCTGTGTTATTTCACCAAACCTTTAGTTTTACATCACTAATTGAAGGTCTATTGTGAATTTACTATTCTAGCTTATTCTAGAAGGGAAGAAGCCTAAGACCACAAAACCCCAGCAGAATTTTTACTAGACATAATATTCTATCTAGATGTTGAAATTTTAATCCTTTATTTTGAAACATAGGTTTATTTTTTAAATTAATTAATTAATTAATTTTGAGATGAAGTCTCGTTCTCTTGCCCAGGCTGGAGTGCAGTGGTGCGATCTCAGCTCACTGCAAACCTCTGCCTCTCAGGACTCCTGCCTCAGCCTCCCGAGCAGCTGGACCTACAGGCATGTGCCACCATGCCCAGCTAATTTTTGAATTTTAATAGAGATGGGGTTTCGAACTCCTGACCTTGTGATCTACCTGCCTCAGCCTCCCAGAGTGCTGAGATTACAGGCATGAGCCACTGCGCCTGGCCGGGTTTATCTTTTAAAAGGGGGAGTGTACAGAGAAGTAGAAAAAACATGCTGATCCCCCAAGGGAAAATTAAAACGTGAAATTATGTTAATGTTGTTTTTAAAATTATTATTTTAAATTGTGGCGAAATACACATAACACAATTCACCATTTTAACCATATTTAAGTTTATGGTTCGGTGACATTAAGTACATTCACATTGTTGTGCAACTGTCAACACCATTCATGCACAGAACTCCTCATCCTGCATGACTGAAACTCTCCACCATTAAACAGTAACTCCCCTTTCACTCTGTTGATGTTGTTTTTAGCTAAGAAGCATCGCTAGAACTTCTCCTTTCTTTAGGGCTGCTATATCAAAGGGACCATTCTTCCACATGTCCTTGGCACAAGTTTTTTAATTTGTTAGAATGCTGTGTGTGACGTTAGCAGCTTATCCTAAGAACTCATTTAGCTACCATTGCTAATGCTACTGTGAGGGTTATAAGTTGTAATGTTTTTGACATGATTGCTTATGGATGGTAAATTACAATATCTTGATAATTTTAGTGCTTATTTAGTAGATTTCTTATACAAAGAAATTTCATGGTCGGTCACAGTGGCTCATGCCTGTAATCCCAGCACTTTGGGAGGCTGAGGCGGGTGGATCATGGTCAGGAGATAGAGACCATCCTGGCTAACACAGTGAAACCCTGTCTCTAGTAAAATACAAAAATTAGCCTGGCATGGCGGCATGCACCTGTAGTCCCAGCTACTCGGGAGGCTGAGGCAGGAGAATTGTTTGAACCTGGGAAACAAAGGTTGCAGTGAGAAGAGATCGCAACACTGCACTCTAGCCTGGGCAGCAGAGCAGGACTCTGTCTCAGAAAAAAATAAAGAAGAAACTTCATTTACCATATTGCCTGTATGATTCTTAAGAGGGGAGGTGAAGATGCCAAATTGCGTAACCACTTGTCATTGATCATTGGGTGTCATTTTTGCCTGGGCTTCGGCTTGTATTATTGTTCTTATATCCCTGGGTTTTAGTACAGCACAAAGAAGTGGTACAATCATCAAAAAATGTGGATCTACTTTACTAATGTCTATAAAGTAAGCGTTTGATATGTTATGATTGAGTTTCTTCTACACTAAGTTTACCTTAATGGTATTGATGATAAAAATTGTGGGTTTTCAAACGGAATGATTACATTATAGGCTATGCTACATAAACTAGATGAAGAAAATATTGGAAAATCCACTCATTGGTAACAAAACTGCCTAATGGGCTTATTCCATTTTTTTCTTTAAAGTGTAATAAAGCTAGTAAGTACAAAGCAGAAGTTTAATAATGCAGTCTTACTTCACTTGATGGAATGTTGGGAATTTCAAGGGATGTTATAATCATGTGTAATTACCAGGTATATTATTTAACAATTGATACATTTTCCTACTTTAAGTATAGATGTCCTTCACAGTTGTGCAATATGAAATTCGAGCCCCACACATTTAAACTAAATAGTAACATGAATTCTGTGTGCTATCCCCTGATTAGCTGTGTTCTATATTATGAGAGTGACTTAGGTAATTTTAAGTTGATATTTCTTGGATTACAAATTTGGGCTACATGGAATGTGAAGGAATTCCTTAAAGTGTGGCCCAAGCCTAGGAAGAAGAAAAGTTTAGGAAAAGGTAATGAATATATTTTTGTTGTTGCCCCATTTCCTAGAGTGCTGCAAGTTGCTGAATCCTGCCTCTGTCACTAATTAGCTGTGTAACCTTCAGCAAGTATGTGATGTCTTATGCTTCAGTTTTCCCATCTGTAGGATGGGGATAATAGTAATATCTAGGTTGTTGTGAGGTTAAATGAGATGATCCATAAAAGGCTTAGCACTATGACTGAAACTTATTAAATGTTAACTACTGGTAATGGTAGTACTAATAATAGAAAAATGATTTACATTCTGTACTTCCTACCCTGACTTGGCCATGGGACTCTTTTTGATGAACATCTATAAACATCTCACAGAATTATTGTTGTATTGAATTAACTTTGAGAAATCCTGCCTTTATGTTACACACGTTATACGTCTATGTTTTCTTCTATTCTGTAGTTGTTTGATAAATAATGATATCTTACATATTATCTTCAATGATTTTTTTAAGTTTCAAAATATTTTTTAATCCTAATTTATTTTCGGATTGCTATAGGACAGCTGGTATAATGTTAAGCCCATTTTACCAGTGAAAAAACTAGGGCTTGTCATGTGGCCATTCAGCGGGAAAGCCAGATCTCTACACAGCATTTCTTTTCTTTTTGCTTGGTGTTCTTCCCCCCGGGCAGTGTTGTCTCAAGGTCAAGCAGAGTCCATTTTGTTTTCTTGTGTTTTCTCATGTACCCAGCACAGTTTTAAGGATAAAATAGATCCTTAGTACGTCTTGGCTGAAATGACAATGAGGCAAGTAGAGGTTTTAGTGGGGCTCTTTAATTGAATCTTCCTCATATCTAGCTACTTTGAGAGGCTGTACAACATTCACTTAGAAGAAGTGGAATACCCAAACTAAGGAGATTGATATTCGCATGATTAACTTTCTTTAAGATGTTAAAACTTTCAGTGTGTACTATCTATTAACTCACTGGTCACTGTCTCCTTTTCTTGGATAGTATGTCACATGGAAATGAAAGTAATTAACAGGAACAGTTACTTTGTAAACATTGTTTGATTCCAAAGCCAGTCTCTCAAACTGCTTCCTTGGCATATCATTTGATGGCGTCACTCAAACTTTGGGTATAGAAATGAAGTAATATTTAACTTGTAGGATTAAATCATGC